CTGTGGGTCTTGAAGTTAGCAGCCCAATGCATAACCACTAGGCCATCAGAGCTCCTTTTATGATGCAGGAAGCATAAAAAGACAATAGAAGAAATATACCATGTTCATGGATAGAAAGACTTACCATTGTGGAAAGGTCAGCATTACCCTAAGCAATCTGTAAATGTAATGCAATTCTGATCCAGACTCCAGCATTGTTCTTTAAAGAGATGGGAAAACAAATCACCAACTTTATGTGGAAAGGACAAAGACCCACACAGGATAAGCAAGGCACTGCTAAAGAAGAAGAGCAAAATAGGCAGCCTCACCCACAGACATATTAGTCAAAACAGCCTAGTACTGGTATAAGGAGAGCTACGTAGACCAGTGGAACAGAACAGAGAACCCAGATATAAGTCCATCTGCCAAGAGACAACTGATTGTTCACAAAGGGCCAGAACACATTTGTGTAAAGCACATTTGTACACTCATTGCCCTCATCATTCTCAAAACATTTGCTCTCCACTTAAGCCCCTGGCAACAGGTCCTCATTTTCCCCCTCCCTCCCGGCTCTCCCAGCTTCGATGGGGAAAGATGGGTCTTCAACAAATGTTACTGGCACAATTGGATTTCTATTTGTATAAAAATGAAACAAAACCTATACTTTGCTTCATATAAAAAATGGACTCAAAATGGATTAAAGACCTACATGAAAGTCCTTGAACAATAAAGATCATTAGTGAAAAGATGGAGAAATTTAGGGGCTCTAATATGTGACCTAAACACACAAGCAGCAGAAGACAAAACACATGACTGAGATCTCCTAAAATAGAATACTCATGTATATAAAAATATTTCAAGAGAAAGAAAAGAAAACCCACAACCTGGGAAAAATTTGGTCATGCCATCTAAGACAAAGGACTAATACCTACACTCTCTAGAAAACATCCATATCTGGACAACAGAAAAGTGGGTGAAGGGAGACGTCGGACAGGGCAAGATATGACAAAATAATAATTTATAAATTATCGAGGGTTCACGAGGGAGGGAGGGGGGAGCTGGGAGGGAGGGAGAAAATGAGGAGCTGATGCCAGGGGCTTAAGTGGAGAGCAAATGTTTTGAGAATGATGAAGGCAATGAATGTACAAATGTGCTTTACACAATTGATGTATGTATGGATTGTGATAAGAGTTGTACGACCCCCCCAATAAAATGATTTTTTTTTAAAAAAGAAAACATCCATATCTCAACAAGAATGAGACAAATAACCCAATTAAAAATGGGCAAAGAACGTGACCGACAGAAGACATCCATGTGACCAACAAACATTTGAAAATCGCAATCAGTAGCCATTGGAGAAATACACATCACAACGATGAGATGCTTACTCCCTGACCACAGCTTAGGTGAAAAACAAACATTGGGACACACACAGTGTGAAGTACTGTGTAATGTTGAGGAATAATGATGAGCCTGTGACGCGGCTCGTGACACGGCAGGAATGGGAGGGTATCTTGCTGAGTGGAGCTAGTTCATCCCAAAAGGACTAATGCTCCATGAGACCAGTATTATATTTTAAAATCAAGAGAAAGTTTCCATACCAAAATAAACAGACTTGGTGGTTACCAGGGGTGGTGGGGAAGGTGAAGTAGTAGGCTAGACGGTAGACAGGTGTTAGCTTGGAAGAAGGGGATGAGAGCACCCAACAAGAAGGAGATCTGAAAGAGAAAAAAAAGATTGAAATGGGACAAACTACTGGGAGGTTTGATAGCTTGTTGAGTACAAAAATGATCCTCTGACCTGATTAAACCCTCATCCAAATCACAATAAAAACTTTTTTTCTAAAGATGAAAGAAATAAATATACAGTCACTGTACAAAAGAAATAAATATGCAGTCACTGTACAAAAAATAAACATACAGTCACTATACCAAAAAAAAGAAATAAATATATAGTCACTGTACAGTCAACCATTTCTAGAAGTATGCCCAAGAATTTGGAAGATAGCTACCTGGCCAACCAACCAGAAGAGATCTATATTGTGCCCAACAGAATACATAAATTATTGAACAATCACATTACTATCACATGCAAGTAAAATTTTGCTAAATGAAGATCATTTAAAAACAGTGCAGCAGTACATTTATAGGGAGCTGCTAGATTCAAGTTAAATTCGGAAGAGGATATAGAATGAGGGATATCATTGTTGATGTCAAATGGATCTTAATGGAGAGTAAAGAACACCAGAAAGATAATGTTTTATTGACTATGCAAAGACTTTTGGCTATGTGTATCATAAGAACTGTGGATAACATTTTGGAGATTAGGAATTCCGTGCTTAATAGTGCTTATGTACATAGACTAACAGAAGAAGAACAGAACAAGAGGGTACTGAGTCGTTTAAAGTCAGGAAGGGTGTGTGTTGGGATTGTGTTCCTTTTAATCGTTTTATTAGGGGCTCATACAACTCTTATCACAATCCATACATACATCAATTGTGTAAAGCACATTGTACATTCATTGCCCTCATC